AATATTGTGTTAAAAATATCCGCCGCGCATCCGGCATCCCCGGGTGAAATTTAATAAAACGCGGGACACATCAAATCCGAATACATATATCTATTTCGCCCGTCATTTGCCCGGATACGACGTTTATTAAATCGTAATTAATGTCCGCGCATCGCCCGATATTACATTATTATTTTAGTAAATTTCCCGCGTGAGGTAAAACGCGGGTCGCGGCGTCGTTCAATCCTGCACACGGCCCGGGGTATCAACTCCCGATCTCTCGATTAACGCAAGCCGCATGATACATCATAGTGCTTCTAACACTGAACCCTGACGATCGAGGTACACCATTATTGGGTCAGGCACGATAAGTAAGTTACGTGCTACTGAAGTTCCTCTCGCGGACTGCGAGAACGGGCGTTTCTCACGACACTGCCGTTTAAGAAGCCGCCGTTAGAAATGGCTCGTTTAATACCGCCGCTCACGGGATTAGGCGGGATAATCTACTTAATGCTCGTTTACGAGGAGCTCTTTTAAACGCACAAAGGAATTTCTCGACATTTCAACGTAAAAATTTCAATGGCCCCGACAAGTGGGAAATAGTGGTAGGCACCGCGCCTCCACCGGCGTGGATGCACTTCTCCTCTCGTCGACTTTTTTCGCTTGAAACAGGACGCCGCATTTTCGTTCATCTTGCGCTCGTCTGATGACGTTGAAAAAAGATAATAATAATTGTGCGCGCGAATGGTCAAAAGCCAACTGCGGAAACAATGCCTTGATATCCCCGCTCGTTAGATTAATTGCATTTGGAATTTGCAATCCACCTTTTCAACCGCCACGCTGCGTTGCGCGCAGGTATTGTGCTCGTAAAATCCAATTCCAATTTTACAGCACCTTTCCCTCTATCACACACACGCACAAACACACATACACACACGCACGCACACACACGCATGCACGCACGCACGTAGGCAGGTACACACATACACATAGAGAGATGTACCTATCCGACACACCTACTTTTTTACGTGCTGTGTTAATTCTCCTCGTATCGATATAATGGTTCATTTATAGGGTGTATATATATATGGATTTTATTTTTTAATGCTCACGTCATGTCGAGCTGGCGAGAAGCTATCATAAAATATCGGTTCTTCGATGAAGAAAAGCGCGCGCGGATGGCATCCATTATACCAGAAATATCTTGGGGCGTCCTTGGGAAGATCTCTCTTTTCATTTGGAAAGATTAAAACGGAAGCTGATAGGAAGACGTTCGCGCTCTGCTAGGCTACGTTTTGCCGGGGCTAATAGCTCCCGACCCTTTCACCCGTGGATCTACAGCAGCATTCGCCCGCTCTCGAGTGCGTTCTCCACGGCACATTAGCGATTCGTAGCATTTCGCCCTTAGCGGTCACTTATTCATCCGCTTTAGCAAACTGTTTGCTATATCAGGATCGCTCGTGTTTGCGACGAATGAAGGAATATTCGGCACTGTATGTACACGTTGCAAAGCAATCTCGTGTTCTCCACTATTCCAGACTAATTGCTCTTGACCCTTTTAGCTCGAAGCTGCGCGCCGAATACTCGTTTCTGCGTCATCTCCGGAATACGTGCTCGTCGATTAAAAAAAAAAAACGTCCGAGGAACGTACAATTCCAAGGACTTACTGCGGCGCGAGCAAAGAACGTTAGGTTTCCATCTTATACGGACGAAATTATCATTTTTATGCGAATGTGCATATACATCCGACCGCGTCATTCATATTACGTGTTACAAAATTTTAGCAGGCTCATTTAGGACCGAATTCTGTACGGTTTATTGATTTTCGTAGCGCCAGTAGAATATCGCACAATCGCAAGCATTGAAATTGAAACTCCGACCGTAACTGCATTATACTGCGAATTGGCAATCGGCTTCTCAAATTGCGGTTGTAATTTTCAAATAGCCATATTTAAGATGGTTCTTTAGTGAATCGAGTTATTTAAGAAATGTCTCATTTTTTTATACAATGAAGTCGAAGTGTCGAATTTGACGTGCGCAAAATTCTAGGGCAGGTTATCGATGAAAAAAAAGAAAAAATGTTGAAAATGTAACTTTTAACGTATAACTTAGACAGGTTGGGCTCGGAGATGTTTCTTTGATTAACTGCACACAAACTATAATAATTTAAGACTTTTCTAAAAAAAACGAGATTGTAATAGTTTAAAAAATTTCGATTTTAATGGTCACAAAAAAGTAATAGCCATTTTGGAAAGATATTTAATATTGAAATGGCATGAAAATGTCACATATATAGCCTCGCTAGCAATGTACATTACAATTCATTTTCTTGTCCTCGTCATTGTCACGCGGAGTAGCAATATCGTTTGTTTCATACTATTTCATTAGATATATACATGTAATTTTAATATTTTATCCAAAATAAAAATATTAATTATAAATTATACAAATATTTGTGATTTTAGGTGGACCCTGATAGCCCCCCCCCCAAATTTTCTGCACTTTACTAAAGAACCACTTCAATGAGCAGATTTATACTGGACTCGAAGGAGAAGAATTTAACGAATTAACGGAATCTCCACAGATACCGAGGTACGTGCCGCCACGTTCGCCGCGCATTGAAGACGAAAGTTTCAGTCGTTGGAAATTTTCCGACGCACTTGTCAATTAGAATACGATATTAGAGACGTCACTTTATATACCGTCGCGTGAATTAAACGGAATTCGCGCTTCACGCTCCATTGTCTCTCGCTTGAACTTTCACGAAAGTTCAATCGATAATGAAACCCTTGATTTATTCCTTCGAATCTCCGTTTCGGTAATATTTATCCAGAGCGGCTTTAACCCCAATATGCGACGCTTCCAGAATTTCATTTATTCTAGAACCTCCGCAAGAGATTTTCTCCAATTATATTTTATAAGAGATACCAATATAAGAGACACCGAAGAAAGGAAGCAGAAGAAGATAAAAAGGCACTTCTCGCGAAACGCGTTTATTGCGTTTATTTTAGCTCTCCCGATTTTATCTACTTAAAGCGAGCAAAAGTAATTAATTGTTTTGCGTTTGTTTCCGATTGTAGAATTTCGGGAAAAACGGGAGAATACGTTTTTCGCCAGAAGGAAGCCATTTCCACTAGCAGAAAATTATGATATAACGCGATGTAGTCAACAAGTATCATTCGCGGGACACGTTCGATTTCGTTCCATTTAATATGAACTTCGCGTCACGTCTCGCGTTCTCGTGCCTATTCTTGCGAGGAACTATTCATTTCCACTCCACTCGCCGTACATATCGAATACTGATAGTGGGTAGCCCGGGTAGTGTACGGCTTAGCGCCTCTTGGATTTGCACACGCCCGTTATCGCCCTAAGTGCCGCGTTTCTCGTCTTCCTTAATCTGCCATCAAACGTCATTAACTCCCTGAAATACCAGTGACATTTGCCAACTACAGATACGATCATGCGAAGGGAATCGATCCGGCGTGATTGGATAGCGATTGGAAAACTCGTCCAATTGCCGCAATTCAATAATCAGAAGTGGCTGATACTATCTCTCGACGATGATACTTGTACGACCCGACTCGCGGCGAGTATATACTCTTTAAGATGTATCGGAAAAATATTATTTTATCTCCTCGCGAAGAGAAAATATTTACAAACTCGTATCGATTTGTTTCGTGTTAAGAAGCCGTTATTTATTACTATCGACGATGGGGCTATAACGAAAGCACTAAAGCCGCATCGCCAGTGATAAACATCAATAATATGTTTCAAGTTGCTTACACTGCGTAATTTATCACGCAAGTTCTAAACCTGCGTGGCGAAAGCACATTGAAAGCATTATGAAAGAAGTACACATTAGAGGGAGGGACAAGACTCCCCGTGCCAAGTTTAATGCAGAAGGCTTTAAGCAAGAAGCTCTATACCTTCGCGAGACAAGGTTTGAAAACATTGGCCGTTCGCGTGAGTCGCTAACGCGGTTTGCTTCCGCGCCGCGCGGAGTAAGCGAACTTGGAAACTCCCGGCTTTCTCTAACGGCGACGGTAGAGGAAACTTTTCGTCGGGATTTATTACATATTTCTGACCCAGTTCCCAATGAAAAACTGTCCCGATTCCCATGGTGATCTCTGTAACCGCGCGCGCGCTTATCGTAAGTGGAAAGTTTGATAGCGGTTTCTAGACAAGAAGAGGGACGAATGTGGGAGTTCATGCGGTATTGTAAATAATAATTAGCAAAAACGCGCGTTGTACTATCGATGTATGTGCGCCCAGTATGGCAGGGCGATTAGGAAAGTAATTTTGCCGGGCTATTAGGCAAAGCGCGGAATATCGAGGTATTCGTAAAACGTTGTTGACTCGTGTATAATTTATCTCGCGCTCTTTAAGGCACAGCCAGTTAAATTAAGGCAAATGTCGCCTCGTTTTATCCCGCGCCGACATTCAGGTCGATGTGATAAATATAAATTCGACCATCCGACACGCCGCGGATACTCGCACGTCAAAACGACCCCGATTCGGCGTCTCGTTTATCACGATCGCTGTGTGCCGTCTTTGAAAACGGAACTCGGTCGCACTCCAAATCCGCGGTTATACCGGGCTTTAAAGCTCGGAGAAGGACGAAGAAGGAAATTCGCAAACAGAGGAGAGTGTACCTAGACGGCAAAGTGGAATAAAACCGCGGGCGGAGCTGAACCAATTGCGTGTCACCGCCTTGCACTAATCCGACTTTGAACTCATCGAGAGAAAAGCCGTACAAGAGCCAGCTGATCCTTCGCGCGTTAAAACGATTTCTTGCGCGCGGTCTCTATAGGTCCCTCCACTTTCATCTGAAAGTTTGCGGACGACGTGCATGCAACATCTATATATTTGTGTATAAGTTTTACCGCCACGTCAACGAGATATTAATTACGCCAGGGAGACGCATGCTGGACAACGGCAAAGCGCGCTGCGACGAGACCGGGTGAGGATTGTGTTTGCGCGGCGAGACAATTAGAGGAATAAAATCGTCGTTTATTCAATACCGATGGATTAGTCAGGAGGGTCACCGCGGCCCTTAGGTGCTTCAGATTAAGTGTCTGTGTGTCCTCAAGGTCGTCACCATCCTCTCCCAAGAGCGACGACGTTATCTGTACCGACGATTGTCGCGACGCCTTGCCCGGATCGTCCTGCCTGATCCTCGCGATCCTGCGGTGGTCCCCTTCCCTGCTGCTGTCATCCCTGTGAGTTAGTTTGAGGCGTCTACTAGAGAATGGGCATGCCATCTTGTTGCAAACTTGTCGGTCTAATTTGTAGTTCAAGGGACGATCATCCACACCCGATTACCAACGTGAGACGTGAACCACGCGGTGTTAATTAATGAGGGACATGCCGCGGCGTCTCGCTGTGCTTATCGGCGATCAGCTGGTGCTGCCTGTGAAGTGCTCTGTGTCCGTGTACACCCGCTCACTTCCCCCGGTGAATTTTTCTATATGAAAATAGTGGCACACTCTTTTACGAGACCGACTTTCGCAGCGTTAATGTCATATCGACGAGATTTCTAAGCGACGCGCGAACACGTGAGACCGATCCGAAAACTCGCTGCAATCAACACCGCCCTCGTCGTCGTGGTCACCCCGATCGTCGCCGTGCTTACGTTGCTGGTACCGATGTCGATGATCGCCGTCGGGGGGCCCGTCATCCTCGATCGTTCAGTTTTATCATTTACCGCACGTTGTGGAGGGAAGCCTCACACTCGACACCGCAACGCGCTACCTGGCGCACGTTTATCCGGCGTCGTTTACGGTCGCCGTCGGGCCGGATGAGATGCACGCGGTTGCATACCGCGACTCGCGTCACCCTTCAAAATTTCCTTCCTCGAAATTGCTTTTCAGATCATTTTCTCTTCACCGTCGCCTTTGTGCCGTTTAACGCTGTGTATAGTCTCTCGTACCTCTTGCCTTCTAGCCGCGCGATCCCGCTCCCTCAGGACGCCGAGAGTGCCGCCCAATCGCGCGAGATTGACAACCGTAATTCGCGCGCCGATTCACCCTGTCGGGGACGCGGCGGAACGTCGACGGTTACGCGGGATACGCGGCGTGAACGACGTGACGGCTACGTACGTTACCGTGCCAGAGCGCGTAGCGCCATACTGCTCGCGGATTGACCGAGGCGCAACGAGCAACGCTCCGAGGCGGCGAAGAGGAGAGGAGGGCGACGAGGAAGGCACCCGAGCGAGGGTGAGTCGCTCGGCGTAAGGGGGTGCGCGGAGGGTGGAGGCGCCACGATGGAGGGCAGCGGAGACGCCTGCGCGTGTTTTCCAGCCTCCCTCTCAAACTATCGCGCTTTCTGTCCTCTCCGCTCGCAGGTCGAGCAGAGAAGAACACCCTGCCTGCCTGCCAGCCTGCCTGCCTGCCAGCCTGCCTGCCTGCCAGCCTGCCTGCCTTGCCTGCTCGCCTGCCTGTCTTGCTTGCTCCGCTTGTTTGCCTTACCTTACTTAGTTGATCTGTCTTACAGTCACTTTTCCGTTACGTTTCATTGAGATTTTCGAGGAATTTAGCATAATACATCTCGTTATTCATTATCAACGTGTATAATTTAGCCTCAATAATGGCACAGATGTAGGTGACAGATGAAAACTGAGCGGCAAGTATCCTCGTTAATTTCCCAGGAATTTATTGAATATCAAACGCATTTGTAATGAAATTAATAGGACATACATTGCATGCGGAGGTGTAAATTGTAATCCACAAAATTATTTGAATAGAAAGCGATGAATAAATTTAGCGATAATCTAATACAGTAAAATAGTGAAGAGAAAATCTGTGTCAAATAAAAAGAACAATTCGTTATGGAAAAACTGTTCGTTGCCATTAGTAAATTCACATATTCTCAATTTTATAGCGTTCAATATTTAAATTATCTTATTCACTCTATCTCGGAATTTTATAATTCCCATCTCTTCTATAATCAAGATGCCATTATCTCTTGCATCTCTATATGCCTTGCATCTCTTGAGGTGGTCTGTTAAGTTGATATTATGTATGCATGTCAGGTAGTGTTTACCGCGGAAGTTCTGCTACGACATTATCGTATAATTATTATACGTTCACAATAGATAATTATTGTACATCTATAGATAAAGTTATCAAAATGTTTTCTTATAGATTTTCTACGATCGCGAACAAGAGCCTTTTGAGAATTTTTATTAACATTTTTCTTAAAACCAACATCTGAACGCAATGATAACGCTTGCAATTTCCGCCAAAAGCAACGGAATGAAAATTAATTCGTCTTGATTGCAAAAAAGATTTATGTCCGACCTGATCTAAATAACGGACACACGATCTGGACATAAAGAAAGTGATACACTGCGAAATTAAACCGCCTAACATCCTCCAAGTTAATGGCACATCTTTCCGTCGGGAGTAGCGAGAGATATTTGAAGTAGATCCTATTACTTTTATATACTTCTGTACCACTGTTCTTCCGTGCTGTTTTATGTGTTGCTGCGCGGACCAATTCCTCTCTGTGAAATTCTAAGCGTAACCATTTAAACGCCATAACCCAAACTGAATGCTTCAATGCTTCCGAATGTGAACTGATGAACGTCGACGGTATATATGTTATACTCTTAACATGATTGCTTAAACGCCACATTAAACGCGATTTGATAGCATCGATAACCGATAATTAATAATGTAATTTTATTTATTTTATCCTCGTCGAAATGTCCCCTCAATCACATATAGTTGGTGATGAAGTGCTAAAATCGGAATTGCATGAGATTATCGATGAAACAAGCGGGGCGAGTGTAAAGGATGGTAGAACAGATGAGTTTGGTAACGAAATTTGCTCGGCACTCTTCTACCTCGTGTCTACACTACAGGCGATAGGGGTAGGATATTCATCTCGATGTTCGACAATTTGGAGCGATCGATGTGCACCATTATCACGAGGAACATTGCTTCGGTGCCGCAGCTGAATGTCAGTGGTCTATCCAAGAGGAAGTCGGTTCGCCCGGTCATTGCTCAAGAGATTCCCGACGGAAACGCGCCGTAAATTACGATCACTGTAGAGATCTGTGTAAATAACGGATGAAAGGGAGAGAGAGCTAAAGACATATTGCACGAGTGGTGTTTACATCATCCGGTGGGGTATTGTTATTTAAAAAAAGAAAAATCTTCAATACGCAGCATCTCTCGCGACAATGTTTTTCTCCAATACGTGTCTAAGCGTCAATACGTTACGCTATTGAGAAAATAATCACCCGATTGTGATAAAATGGGGGCAATAAGGATATAAATATCTCTTAGAGGGCGGCGCATATCGGGCGGTGCAGAATTAGCACGTTAAATCGACGATTCGTGCTCCGTTTTTGAATTATTATTCAGACAAATGAGATCATATCTCTCTTCTTACCTTTATTAATTCGCGCCTTTCATCATTTAATGAATTAAGCGCTAACTCGTCGTAATGACGCGTAATGGGTTAGCGTAATGCTGCGCGCCATTAGGAAAGCCTTTTCTAGACTTTTGTAGACGTATTTATTTACTATTCCAATTTACAAGTTCTAATTTATAAAGATTATATCTCGCGACAAAGTAATAACAGGATACTTTTTATACTTTTCTAAATTTAATAATTTCGGAATAAAAAATTGGTTTGGAACTGTGAATTACAAGAAATAAAACGCGCATGTGTGACGTAAAATGTTCTTTTTTGCAGTATTATAGTTTAGTTCGTTACGCGACACGCGCATTTATGTACAATACGTAACTGTAACAACAATTTGTATATCTCAGGAATTACGAATTTAATTAATTAAATAAACGCGAAAATATTACACGAGTTTGTAAACATGCACACGTGATATTAACGGTACAGACTGGCCGTATAATACATTCCATTAACTGCCGCAACAGACAACTGATCCGCGCGTGGTCAAAGGAACGCATAGCACATCGCTATTCGAAATTGAATTACATTATAACCATTAGTGACTGAAACTGCATTTTTGGCAGCGCATCGATTTGCCGCGAATGCGAAAATACGATTTGCGGAATGTGTTTTCCATTTACCAGATTACCTCCGCTCGCCAGATGTGAAATTTGACTACAGTCTCATACAGGTTTCCCTCTTTCAATGTGGAATTTTTGTGTTTTTCTTTCTGCTTGCCTTTTCACTCTCTCTCTCTCTCTCTCTCTCTCTTTCTCTCTTTCTCCCTCTGGTAAATTTATTCACCGTAAGGACTACATTTTTACTTGCTGAGTTTGCGCTTATGATATCACACCGATCTCATGCTTCTTTCCTGCATATAATTTTAGAACAGTACATGTGCATCGCGCGTACAACTGCGAGAAGTCTTCATTCGTTTAAAGATAAAACGTGCCCTATTTCGAAAACAAACCTATAACATTTAGAAGATAGAATATTTACATAATTTTATCTCTTGAAATATATAACGTTGTGTGACAACTTAATGCAGATGTAAACTTAAAAATTTACAACTTATTTAAAAAAAGAGATTTTTTAAATCTTATATATTTAACGCTTTTGCCTCAGTAACAATTTATACAGTAACATGGCCTAAATATTTTATTTAAACTCACGAATCTATATGTGTATGATTCGAACACAATGTAATCATCATGGTTCGCTAAGCTCTTGTACTTACTTTTGATCACGGTGAGTTTCAGCTTATCTTTAGCTAAGATACAGCCGGGATGCACCCTCTATCGCCGCTGAGCTAGTTATACTTATCCAAGCTTACTAACCACTTCGTATTTATCTTTTCGAGAGAAAGAAAATTTATTTTATTTTGTTTGTTTACTTGGCATATTTTCCTCTTTTCTTTTAGCAAGCTACATGGTTTATTGTTTACGACAGACACGTGTAAAAAAAGTTTCAAATAATATTGGCGATCGAAATGCTTCATTATAGTTAAATGTTTTTACATATACATACATTGTATGTATGTTACATACATACATGTTTTTACACTTTTTACAAAAATCCAATTTAATAATGAAAATTACTTTTATTGAATATTAAAAGCACTATTGTTCAATGCTTTTAATATTCAAAATAAATAATTAATCACTACCTTCCACTATTAAATTTCTGCAAGAGACACATATTATATACACATATACGTACGTATATAAATATAGTTCTTGACAGTGCCTGGCGAGACGCCAAAGTTTCCAAAACCACGCTACAATAATAAGTCTTTATAACGCTGCAGCTCTCATGATCGAAATGCAGATTAGAGAAGACAAATAGGAAGATCTAACGAGCAAATTTGTAAACAAATTAATTAATGTTTGCCGGAATCATTTGCTCTGTTTAAAGAAAAACGAAGTGTACGTGAGTTGGTAACGAAAGCTCACGTAAGCGCAGAAATTATCCTAAGGAGGGAATAAAACTTGGTGATCAATAACTTAGGTCCGGTCCGGTGATCAATAACTTACGCGAGCGTTGACGGTGAGATTATCAAGACGCATCGTTATCGCGACGATGGAAGTGCTGACTTTTTATTAGCAGCGTCGATTCACACATTTGTTACGTCTGTATTTTTCCTTGGTAAAAAAAAAAGAAACGAAAATATTTTTAAAAATTAATGTAAAATTATACAGGATAAGAGAATAATTTGTTAATCTTGTAATAATATCGCTGAATAATAGAATGCTAAATGCCAGGTTGTATAATACAGTTTACATAGCATATTGAAAAATGCGAGTCATTTGTTGAAAAAACTGGCCGCCGTCAATATCAATCACCACCTATAGCCAGATACAAATTGCTATGACCTCGCTGACAAGTGAGTTCGCGGAAGAAATACTCCGTGTAATAGTTTCCCGTATATTTTCTACCTTTTCAGAATTTCATGGAACAGCTTTCCGGAAAATGACCGGGGTATTTTGTATTCTTGTCGCGTCGGGACTGGTTACTGCTGCATATCGGGGAAAAAGGTCTGATACGCGGATGCCCAGACAAGATTCCGTGCAAATGCGAATGATACTTTCACGAAAGAATAAACCGTTTGTTCACCCTCGTTTGTTTGGATTTCTACAGTTCCTGCGTACGGCAATGATTAAAAGT